TGGCCAGCCATCCAGCCTTGAGAGAGAGATAACTGTGGTCGGCGGCCTTGGGAGAAAAACAGTTGAGTCAAATCAGGATATTTTATGGCTGGCCCCCTGGCCTTGAGGAATAAGCAGCTGGGCTGGAAAAACACCCACTTTACCCTGGGCAAGGCCAAGTCAGCCACATATCAAACTTCTGAGAATTAAGAATACGACCCCAAGTTCACCCTGGCCTTCTTTGAAACAACCAATAGGAGCCCTGTAACTATGCTTCTCGCTTCTGTAACTGCGCCTCTGCCCCTGAGATCCTATAAAAAGTCCCCCTTGCCCTAGGAAGGCGCGCAAGTCCTTCGAAAGACTTCGCCCCAGGTACCTGTGTATCTGAATAAACCCTCTTGCTGTTTGCATCTGATTGGTGGTTTCGGCGTGTTCCTTGGGTTTGGGGTCTCTCCTGAGGGAAAGATCTCCCCTGGGGGTCTTTCATTGGAGGTTCCACCGAGATAGAGACCCCTCCCTGGGACCACCGACCCACTGTCAGGAGGTAAGCCGGCCGGCCTCGGCCTCGGTATATGTCATCCCTGTCTTGTCTGAATGTTGTCTGTTTTTCCGTGCGCCTGATAATCTGTCTGTGGCGGTGGGGGCTGAAGGAGCTGATGAGCTCGGACTTCGCCCACCGTGACCCTGGAAGACGTTCCACGGGTGTCTGAAGTCCCCTCTGGGGCATGGTCTGAAGTCCCCTCTAGGGCACGGTCTGAAGTCTCCTCTGGGGCACGGTTTTTCGGAGACGAGGGGTCCGGACCCTCACAGTCTCCTTCTGAGGTTTTGCTTTCGGTTTGGAACCGAAGCCGCGCAGCGCGTGTTAGTCTTATTTGTGTTTGTCTGTCGTTCTTTGTTTTCTGTTTAACCGTTCTCCTCCTAGAAACAGCCATGGGACAGACTGTCACCACCCCCTTGAGCCTCACGCTTGACCACTGGTCAGACATGAAGACACGAGCCAACAACGAGGGAACCTTTAACCTCAGTCTTATTTTACAGGTGGAGGGAAAAGTTTTTGCTCCGAGTCCCCATGGCCACCCGGACCAGGTCCCATACATCGCCATGTGGAGACTCCTGGCGACAGAACCCCCTCCATGGGCTAGGCTGTTTCTCTCCCCTCCAGCCCTCCGGCAGCAGCTTGAGCTGTTTATTAATTGTAGCTAAAAGCCACCATCAAAGACCAATTAATAAACAGCTCAAGATGACACTTTTTTGTTGTTGTTGTTGTTTTGGCTTGATTTTTCAAGATAGGGTTTCTCTGTATAACAGCCCTGGCTGTCTTGGAACTCATTTTATAGACCAGGCTTGCCTCAAACTCACAGAGATCCACCTGCCTCTGTCTCCCAAGTGCTGGGATTGTACCCATTGCCCAGCTTCAAGAGTATACTTTTAAAGAGTTTGTTTTCTTTCTATGACTTAGAAAAAAGTCAACTAAGAGAAATTTCCTAACTGAAATGTTGAAACTGGACATTCTGCATTTTTTTAAAAATAGATATTATTGTGTTGAAGGAATAAAGTCTGATCTTCCTTTTCAAAATAGAATTGGCTAGCTGTTTTAAAAATGTAATTGCAATATGGTTTGGTAAATTAAGCCTAGATTTTCCAAGATACAATGGAATTATAATTTAAGGGAGGTAACATTTAAAACTTGTCTGGACAAATCCATCATGTTTCCCCCAAGATCTAGTTCTATCCTATATCTCACTACATACCTACAAGATTTTTTTTTACCCCTGAACTTTTAAAGCATAGAGCTGTTTCTTGTGCTGAATACAAGAGGTGGTCTACTTGAGATAAGGGTCCATAATGCAAAACAAAACACATGCATGCATATATAGATGTGTGCATATGTGTGTATGTGTATAAGCACAAACAAACGTGTAGTTTTAAATACTAGACTCACTCAGAAAGGGAGAAGCTTCAGGCCCCAAGAAACCCACAGAAGTGCTACACACTTCAGGAACAGATGTCTGAGTTTTCTCATCTTCAGTTTACTTTGTTGTGTAGTTCCACTGAGTGGAAAGACTCTAACTCGTGCTTTCTCCCACGCCTCCTCATTCATCCCCCACTCAGCCTAGCTGAAATGGCTGATGGATGATAAATGCCTTCCCAGTGTGATTTCACTGTCTCCCATGGGGACTCCATCAGAATAGATACATTAATGGCTACCTCTGAGATCAGATTTCGCAGTGTGGTGGCAGTTGAGGTGGGAATGATAATGGCATAGTCATTGCATTAGTGGACTAGACCTTGTGCCGCTCTGATAATGTATATTGTCTTTTCTGCAGTGAATTCAAGTCTGAAGGTGCTTCTCCCTATCTGATGCTGATCAGGCTACGGAAGTGAACCGGCTGGATGAAGCTTTGATGGAAGAGGACTATGAGGATCTTATTTATTCCTTGAAATGCAGTTTCACCTCCCAAGATAAAACGACACCATGCCAATGTTTATTTAAATGTAACTTATTGTACATCAATACAATTTATAAGAAGGTGATATTACAGGCAATTCAACAAATGTCTGCTGGAGAGAAGAAGCCCCCCCCCCATTTTCAAAGCTTAAGTTAAGAAACCAGGTACTTTCCTATGATGAAAGATGAATTCTACTTTCAACTTAAAAAATAAAGTAAAACCTGATCCATATACTAAGATATTTTACTAAAGCACCTCTTTTAAGGTTTTCAGATTTGAGCTTTGATAGTGGTTTTTATATGTACATGTGAAAAGAAGGATGTCAATGTGTATGAATGAATGATGTATTTTAATTGAGCCTTTATGTAATAATATCTTACTATGACACATATCATTGTTCTTTAGAAGTTCAATTGCTAGAGGAAAACCTCACACATAAACACATAGATGATACAAGTGGTGCATTTTACTTTGTTACTTATTTTCTTCTTGATATAAATGTTATCTAAAATAATTAGGTAGAAGGATAGAACACAGTGCTGCTACCACATATCTCCATAAAAATGTAAATAGTACAGTTCAGTGGAACAATGGTTGCTGTCTACAGCCAGGAAGAATCATAATTCATGATCTGGAATGTTTGTAACTGCTAGGTATCTGCCCCTCACCCTGGGCCATGGCTGAGGGGAGACCCCTTAAGACCTGGAATGTGTATGTGCTCACTCTCTTGGCTACCTCGTGATCCTGGATGCTGGATGCTGGTATTTCGAACCAAATCAGAGTTCTCCAGAGAACCTCGTTGGACCGGGCCTCATCTCTCCTGGATCCTGTAACCAACTGCCTTTGCTTATTGTAAATTAACTCGAAATAAACCCCTTTTGACTATCAGATAAAGTACGTGGAATTGCCTCATTAATTGCCACTTTACACATGGTGTTTTTCTGACAGTGTACTCATTCTGATGCCTGCCTTCATTTAAGGTGAGGTTTCTGAGTGCTATGAGTTAAAACAAACTCTAATTGTAGAAATACTGACTTTCAGGAAAGCAGACCATGCTTCAGTTGGAGAAACAGAGAGATACTGGGTCATTGTCTTTATTAGGGTTACTATTGCTGTGATAAAACACCATGACCAGGCCAAAGCAACTTGGGGAGGACAGGATTTATTCAGATTATACTTCCTATTGCTGTTCATCACTGAAGAAAGTCAGGATGGGAACTCTAACAGTGCAGGAACCTGGAGGCAGGAGCTGATGCAGAGGCCATGGAGGGGTGCTGCTTACTGGCTTGCTCCTCATGGCTTCCTCAGCCTGCTTTCTTATAGAATCAGGACCAGCCACTTGTGCTGGGCCCTCCCACATTGATCACTAATTAAGAAAATGCTTTACAGCCGGATCTTATGGAGGCATGTTCTCAATGGAGGCTCCCTCCTCTCTGATGACTCTAGCTTGTGTCAAGTTGACATAATACTAGCCATTATAGTCACTCCAAAGGAAACTTTCCTTTAGTCCTTTGATTATCCTCTCAGGAAAGATGCTTCTCTGTCCATGTGCCGTAAACAATATGTGTTATCCTTTCAGTATTTCAAGGCATGTGCAGGTGAGGTAAAGTGATGTATTTATAAATCCATCCAGATACTGTAGTCCTGGAAATGTTGCATAACTTTTTTTAATTCTTCTCTCATACAATATATTGACATTTCCCCTCCCTCCACTCCTCCCAGTCCTTCTCTGCTACATCCTCTTTCCCCTAGATCCACTCCTCCTCATTTCCCTTCAGAAAAGAGCCTCCAAGGGATATCAACCATATGTGGCATATCAAATTTATAACAAGACTAGGGATATCCCCTCATGTTAAGGCTGGATGAAGCAACCCAGTAGGAGGAAAAGGGTCCCAAGAGCAGGCAAAGAGTGCGAGACAGACCCCCACTCCCACCGTTTGGTGTTCCACAAGAACATCAAGCTATACAACCATAGAATATATGCAGAGGGCCTAGCTCAGGCCCATGCAGGTTCCCTGATTGTTGGTTCAGTCTCTGTGAGCCCCTATGAGCACTGCTTAGTTGGTTCTGTGGATTGTGTTCTCCTGGTGTCCTTGACTTCTCTGGCTCCTATAATCCTTACTTTCCCTTTTCTGCAGGATTTCCAGAGCTCTGCCTAATATTTGGCTATGGTATCTGCAACTGCTCCCATCAGTTGCTGGATGAAGCATCTCTGATTATGATTATGCTAGGCTCTGGTTTATGAATATAGCAGAGTATCATTAGGATCATTAGGAATTATTTCACTGACTCTCCCTCTTTTTATCAGTCATATTTGGATCTCCATGGGGAGCGGAAATAGAATATATTTCACAGGTGAACTGGAGGTCAGGTGGAGATGGGAACAGGAGGGATCAGGTTGGGGTGGGGGAAGAAAGTGCTAGGAGAAAATAGAGAAACAGGACATTACTCTTATGTCCCCCCTTTATATTCTGAAGCAAGTAACAAAACCTAGGAAGGGTTTTTCTCATCTTTGTCTATGTCATCCTCATTTGGGGAGTACCATTCTTATAGCAAGAAGAAAGAAATTGCCTTTTGAAGACTCAGGGTCACAGAAAAGATCTGAGCAAGCAGGTTATTCCCTATCTACCTCATCATCAAATCTACCATTGAACTCATAGCTTTATCCCTTTATTCATGTCTGCATTTGCTTCTGAAGGTATCTATATGATGCAAAGTTTAAATAACTGTGTGTGTGTGTTTTCTTGTTAGTCTGCCTTCTATTATAAAGGCCTAAGCTAGAAAACTAAGGTGTGTTTTAAAAGTAGTGTCAGCATCCTAGAAAACTGGAATGTATTTTAAACATGTGAGATTGGTTTATCATTAGAAAATCAACTAGTATATTCTACCACATACAACAATAAGGTAGGATATGTGATTATTTTTAAAAGTAAATAAGTACTTGAAGAAATTTGCTCATTTTTGACAAAAATTCTTAGAAAAACAGAATCAAAGGGTGTGGTGGTATTGTGTTCCCCAAAATATTGTGCACCCTTATAAACTTACCTGGGGTCAGAGACAGAACAGCCACTAGATACAAAGGCCAGAAAATGGTGGTACTCACACCTTTAATCCTAGCATTCCAGAGGTAGAAATCCCTCTGGATGTCTGTGAGTTCAAGGCCACATTGGAAACAGCCAGGCATGGTGACACATGCCTTTAATCCTAAGAAGTGAGCCTTTAATCCCAGGGAGTAGTGACAAAAACAGAAAGATATATAAGGCATGAAGACCAGAAACTAGAAGCATTTGGCTGTCAGGCTTTTGAGCAGCAGTTCAGCTGAGATTCATTTTGGATGAGGACTCGGAGGCTTCCAGTCTGAGGAAACAGGATCAGCTGAGGAACTGGCAAGGTGAGGTGGCTGTGACCTGTTGTGTCTCTCTGATCTTCCAGCGTTCACCCCAATACCTGGCTCAGGTTTGATTTTATTAATAAGAACTTTTAAGATTTCTGCTACAAAAGGGACTTTTTGATTGTGATAAAGGGCATTCATGACAACCTTTTTAGCTTATATATATGATAAGGAAAAACTACCCTCCAGCAACAGGGCAAACAGGCAAAGATGCCTGCTGTCACTACCTATAAACACTGTAGCAATGGCTAGAAAAAGAAAGGTAACAGAAAAAGAAACAGAAGAGGCATACATGTGAGAAAGGAAAAGGTCAGACTTTTCTTTTGTATCTCTTACAGTTGGTACAGAGAACTCTAATACCCAAAACTATTAGATTCCAGATATCTGAGAAACAGTAAATCAACTGAGAGAAGTTCCTAAATCTTCAAAATATACATGAAGTGATGTATATTTTTATTTACTTGATAGTGATAATTATAATGGTTTATGAATATCAAAATGTTATGTTATATATCTTAAATATGTACATTTTTAATTTGTTGATTATACCCAAGCTGGAAAAGTAAAATATTATTAATATAAGTTAAAAGTCAATGATTATAAGGTTAACAAGCAAAACTCATTACATTAACAGTTAAAGGAAAAAATTACATCAATTCATGGAAAAGAGAAATCCAAAGTAAGTTCATATGTAATTTATTTTTGACAAAAGTGTAAAATTCTATCATGTGGGAGAAAGAAATTCTTCTTAGTGTTACTAAAGACATTGGGAACTCCTGATTGGGGAAAAACATTGATAGTTACTCATATACAATGATCATATTTAAAACGACAATCGGTCTAAATACTAAATGTAAAGCAGAAATAAAGTTTTAGGAGGAATTATCTTTGCAACAGTAAAGTAGGGATGATTTTACAGTATCACACAAATAATAGGAGCCACAAAATAATAAAAATTATCACTAGATTCCTTAAAATTAGATCAGTGTTCATTGGAAGGCACCATTAAGCAAACCAAAGGTGGAGGTGGAGAAAAAGAGAAAAAAAAAAAACCATTGTCTTAGTTACTATTCTGTTGCTGTGATAAAACACCATGACCAATGCAACTTACAGAAGAAAAGGTTTATTTGGGCTTACAGTTCCAGATAGAGTCCATAACAATGGGATGCTATAATAACAGGGACTGGAAGCTGATAGCACATCTTGAACAGCTCGCACAAAGCAGAGAGAGTGAACTGGATGGCATAGAGCCTTCTTAGTCTCAAAGAGCATCCCCCTAATGATCTGCTTCCTCCAGGAAGGCTGCATTAATGCAACCTTCCCAAATAGTGCCACCAACCAGAGAGCAAGTATTCAAATGTCTGAGACTGTGGTGGCAGGCTGGGTCATTTCTCATTTAAACCACCACAGCTGTGGAATTTGAGAAGCCCTCCTCCACAATGTGCATAGATTTTTTTTTTAAGTCTGGACTATATACTTACTAAAATATAGGATAAAAATATGATAGAAATAGGCAAAAATTATTCAACAGTTACTTTATGAAATGAGATATATTAAAGACAAACACAAAAGATGCTTAATACATTAGCTGTTAGAAAATGACAAATTAAAATCACTAGGAGCTAACCACTCAACTGTAGAGGGTAGCCATTCCAGCTTTGACCTGGAAGTCCCAACCTTCATTGAGGCTTCGGTAACTGTCATGCCTAAAAGGTGGGGTGAAGAAAGGACCCTGAAGACCTGAAATCTAGCTACACCAGCTCTCTTGGTTCCTGGACCCTGGACACTGGAGGTAGACTGAGCAGAGTTCTCCAGAGAACACCTGCTCTACACCTTTCCCAGACCCTGTAAACTATCCCTTCACTTGTAAGTTACCTCACAAAATAAACCTCCCTTTTGACCACGTTGGAGTGGCCTTAATAATTTCACCAATATCTGGTGCCCAATGCAGGGCAAATTCCAAAGGCCTGGGTGACTCCCACCCTCAGCTTCCTCCTGGCTGGTGGGCACTTGAAGCTGCAGGGTACCGCCTGCAGAGCTCTGTAAAACCAGGAAAATCCTACACAGTTCCATTCCTGAAAAGGAGCTAATCCGGTCTCAGTTCCACGGCAAGTTTAGCCTCCAGACCAGCAAAACTGCTGTGAGTGAGGCATTCCCCCTTCTCCCTGAGTGCTGGCTCCCCACCCTAGCCTGAGGCTTCCACAGTTTCACCTAGTTAAAATAAACACGGCACTGTCCCTCCAGCAGCACCCTACTTAGGCACAGAGAGGGCTTGGAGCCATGCCTGCTGGCAGATCTATTGTCTATAGAGGCAGAGAGGGGCTTAGAGCAGCCTGGAACTCTCCACACCCTGAAGCTCCAGGGAGTCACCAGAAGAACTGCCTACTGCCTGTGCTCACTCTGCCACCAGCCAAGGCATTCAACAGAACCTGCTTTGGAGCGATACCAATGCCTCCTGCTGGCTGAAAAGTGCCACTACATCCCCCCAAACCATGGA